TGTCTTGCAGTGTAAAAACCTCCAACAGAAGAGAATCTTCAGGTAATCTCCTGTGCTGTGAGGCTTATCAGACATCATCTGGATTTTCCTGCTCCTGCCATAAAAGTATAGGTAGCAAGACCTGCTAGTTCTATGGTCTTTTATGATTTTATTGTTATTTGGTTGGAATAACTTTTAACAGTTACTTTTGAAAGTTGCTATTAGTTAGTCGTGAGATTCTTTTTCTTAAGCTCTGACAAAGCTGGGGGGGGGCGGATCTGAAACGATGCGTAGTTCTACCACGCTGAATGCAACGACAGCAGTTGTATTTTCAACCACCAGGTTGGATTCTGGTCAGCCCAGAGCAGCTCTGTACTGTACCCAGCATACACGAGAGAAAGTTTCGTTCAGTATTGGTCGCTCACTGCGTGATGACAGTCACGTTTGGGTCGTTCTGTTTTGTTTTTTTTCCCCCTGCAGAGCCGTGTCAGATTGAAGTGCGGTTGCTGCTGGCCTACAATTCCAACAGGAGCAAGGCATCTGCTAAAATTCCTAAATCTACCTGGAGCGAGAGCTTGGAGGCTCTCCCGCAATCTGAAAACGGCATAGAGGGGACCATACCCTTCAGCAAACCTGTCAAAGTTTATATAATGCCCAAACCTGCCAGACGGTGAAGTCTGACGCTAAAAGAAATACATTTATGGGATTGTTGGGTTCCATGAAAACAACGTGCTGTGTTCCAAGGTAGTGAACCAAACCACAACAGACTTACACCAGTCAACCACAGAAATAAAGCTGCCGAAGAACGATTGGTCTCCTCTGTTAAGAAGCAGATAGACCAATACAGGAGTTATTCAGCTAGATAAGGGTAGTTTCAAGAAAATGCAGGTGTTTCTATATTGACTCAACAAAATCAAGACAGTTCTCAGCATTCCAGTAGTATTTCATTGGGCCGTATCTTCAGTTTTCACTTGCCAAAAGTTTCTCTCCAAGGCCTCTAGGTTTTCTGCTCTGTATTTACTATGTAAATGCTTAGGCACTTAAATCAATGTTATTTTTACCGTACTCTGAAATGAAAGCTAAGGAGTTCGAGGTTTGTTGTTTTGTTGGGTTTTTTTTTAATGTCTAAAACTTGTACTTGTGCATTGGTACCTAAATTCTTAGTAAAGAAAAAAATAAAATCTAAAGCGGTGCTGTTCTTGTGTGGGAACTGCGTCTCAAAGTGCAATTGCCAATTGCCATAGGCTCAATCCTGAGCTATTTTACAACCTGTACTGAAGCTAGTACAGTTTTGGGGAGGGCACAGGTTGTCCACGTTGTGGTGCCGGGGGGAGGAGGAACCCGTTGGTGCAAGCAGCAGAACTTCACTTAGCAGGACATGGGGTTTAGCTGAGTTATAGCAACAAAACAATATGTTTTGTAATCCAAGTCTCTTGCACATTTGTACGCTTTTAGGAACAATGCGATTAAATACCACGGGTTGAAAAATTACTAACCCCATCCCACTAAGTTTTACAGACTCCGTTTCTGCGTGGTGATCTTGGCCTGAATCAATCTTGCCGAGATGAGAAAACTGTTTAGTTTTTCAATTCAGCAGCAGTTTTGGCAGTCGAAGTCTCTCTGGTCGGCTGAAGTAGCGGAACATGCTCTCAGTTAAGCAGCAGTCAGGCAGCTTGTCCATGTTCCCCGAAGCGGGTGAGCTGGGACT